TGCCTTTCCTCCTCGACAAAGAGTAGGGTTGTCCTACCTCATCAGAGAGCAGTAGCTTTCACTCGAGTTAGCAGGATAAGATAGTTGTCTACACACTTTGGAGGAGCAGGGGATCTGGGCCCTATTGCCCCTGCCTGTAACATATGCATAATCCTCCCCTAGCAGGTGTGGGCACCATGTGCATAAACCCATGAATGTCTGTGAGGTGCTCCGGCGGGACTGCTATACGTTCTCAGTGAGATTTTATTTGGCACCCATTCCAGTACTTGGGATGGGGTTTATAACAAGGGTTTTGGATCAGGCCGCTCTCTCACTCTTTCATTGCAACTAAGGTTTGGGGATAATTTGTGTGTGCTCGCATTTCTGGAAAGCTAGCACCTTCTCCCAGGAGGCTCGGGGAGGATATATACATATACTTTTTAACCATTTCCAGCTTCATCTTGGAACCTCACTTCACGTTCAGTGAAACCGAGACGCTCATGTTTTGTCCAGCAAGGGCCACACCTACTCCATTATCTCTAAACCACTGCCTGCTCCTCACCGACGGCCTCGCAAGTCTGCACTTAGGACGTTTAAAGCTGCCGCTAGCTGTCAAGGGGTCCTGCACATTTTTATACCTGACAAGACCTCGCCAAGAAGCCCCTGGGGGAAAGACCGTAAAAATGTTTTATGTAGGAATAGGTTGGTTTCTGTGCAATAAAAACCGAAGCCATTGAAAAGCAAGCTCCTGTGTAATTGCAAAGACAGAGGAGATAGCTTCCATATGTTTGAGTGGGTGTGAGAGGCCCGGAGCCTGCATCTGTTCTCTTTGTTCTGTCAAAAAAAAAAAAAAAAACTAAAGAAAGGAAGAAAAAGAGGGAAAAAAAAAAGAAAAAAGGGAAAGACGGGGTCTCGGGGAGAAACTGACCTCCTGATAAACCCTGACCAGGACCAGCCACCGGTGTGGAGGGTCAACATCTGGCTTGGAGAGGGATGCAGGCAGGCCTAGCAGGACACAGTTGATCAATACATTGTGCTACCAGGCACAAAATCAGAGAGATCTGAGAGGCATTCATTAACGAGCTCGTTAAGTGATTGATATGCTTAATTTTCCTGTCAAATGCGGACTTCCCTTGTAAACATGTCAATTGAGAAAAGTTCAAGCTTGTCACTCGGATTTATGGCTGGAATAACATGTAGGTGGAAAAGAGCGACACGTCCCCTGTGGCCCATGCTGCTTCCTATTAAATGTAAGGCCAGCGAATCCAGGTGCTTCAAGGTCCTTCTCCTCACCTCCTACTCCTTTCTTCTCACAGCTGAGATAACAATAACAGACCTTCAAAACCCAAAAGTGGGCAGAACTTGGCCCCAGTCGCGAATAGCCCCTTAATTTGTTCATCTTGATAAAGCAAGAGGCATCTTACTGCTGGAATGTCTTTGATGGCTTGTTTTGGAAACTCCAATTCCCACTTATATCATGGGATTTGTGTGTGTGTAACTAAATAAAATATGCATGGCTGGGATTGTTTGAAACCATGCAACAAAGGCTGTCCTTGGTGCCTTTCCCCTCTCCCCCACTTTTCCAGTTAGAATGACAGGCCCTGATTTTTTTTTTACTATGAGCTCAATCTTCTGCCCCCAAATTATGATTTTTATAACAACAGAATAACCCAGGGCACCAGACTGTCTTACTATCTCCCCCGGGGCCTGCCCCACAGAGTTTGTGAGGCTTCAGCCACGAGTGGAAGCTGCAGAGACTCACTCTTTTAACACTGGAGACCTCTGTTGAATCTTGAATCAGGCAAAATAGTGTCCTTTAGGAGAACACCCCTGCAACAAAATATGCTGCGCTGTGGTCCTCGTGCCTGCTCCAAACGGGCTAGCTTGGCAGTGAAGACAGCCATGTTAAATGGCACGCTACCCAGGTAAGATAGCAGGGCAGGCTGCTGCGTAACTCTTGCCCTGCTTCCAGTTCTGGAGCTCTGCCTGAGTTAGAGCAAGGGTCTTTCTGCACGGTGCCATATAGGCATATCCAAATAGCCCCTTTATGAAGGGTTCAGCCAACTGAGACCCAGATAAACTAAGTGAAATTCCTAGCACAGGGAGAAGAAGGAGCTCCTCCTGAAAGTCATGAACCTTTCAAGCCGCAGACTTTGCAGAAAGACTTTGCCCTAGGGTAGGAAAGTGGGCTTACGCAGAGTGATCATCACAATGCAGTAAGAGGGAGACACAATTCACTTCTGTGCAATGGGCCAGTATAAGACTTATATGCACTTAAGCACTGGGCATTTTAGCCAGGGTGTGAATTAAGCCTTTAGCATCCTTGACTGCTAACAGCAAAAGGAAATAACTGGGGTTATGTGCCCTATTTTACTTATATTTATTTACTTGCAGGCAACACCATTTTCAAACAGCTTGAGGCCCAGCAATCCCTTGTTATTGTTGCAAGGCTTGGATTGCATCACTGAACAGCAAAAATAATACCTTTTCCGCACTGCTCTGTAAAAGGCAGAGGTCAAGAATACACTGTCGGCATCTTGCATTCCTAAAGACGCAAGGAAAATGCTTGACAGGGGAGAAGCATTAGGCCAGAAACAAGGACGTTGCATTTCTCTGCCTCTGTCTTTAACCTGGCTATACTTTTCCAGTTCATTTGGTGCCACTTACCAGGGCTAAACAAAAACAACAAGTATTTTCTAATTCTATTATGACATTTAGTAGGGGTGAAATTCCCACTTTCTTCCCAGGCCATTTTGTATTGCTGGGTATAAAATAATGGTTGTCAGATGAAATGTGGTATGTGGCCGCATGTGGATGTACTCATTCCTGTCTCCCTTTAGTGGCAGGTTTCAGCAACTACACAGTCCACAACTTAAATATAGCTAAAGGAGTACTTTAGCTCAAATGTTTAAGGCATTATATTAGTACTCACAGTCTAGGAACCTAGCTTTGCTGCTGGCTGTGGAGCGAGGGTCTTGATGCATTATAGAAATAGGAGCTGCTTTGTAATTTCACATGTTCTGATGAACCGAATGATCGTTAAACACAATTTTGAAATTCAGGCATTAAGGTTTTTCAGCTTAAAGACAACAGCCTCACATGAACTGAGCAAAATTGGTGAAATCAAAACAAGATGCTAAAAGTTCAGGTTCTTAATTGTGTTGAAAACATCTTACTACTATGTCCTCATTTAAAATATTTTTGGAACAAAAAGTCTTACCCATATAGTTGCTTTGAGTCTTGCTAACTTTACATATCACTATGATGAATATGGTATAAAAATAGAACAGGGTGTAATGTACCCTTCAAAAGACTTTTACAATATTAAAACAACAACAACAGGAAATATTTTCAGTATTTTGACTAAACATTTTGGGGGAAAAAAGCACCGAGAAGTTTATGTGCAAATTGTGAAAAACAAAAATAATTCACATGCAAGTCTGCACAATGAAACTTATTTTCAACTTTAAGACCATCATCAGAAAAATCACTAGCTGTTTTCTATCACCTCTGTGTAAACGCCAGCATAGGAGAGAACTATGGTCTAGTCCTCTATGCTACTGGCCTCCTCTTATTCAAATCTTTCCTGTAAACTTGGCCATAGTACCCACCACAAAATAGCAATATACCAATTAACAGCAATAGCTACATTCAGAAATAACAGCGTTCTGCCAGATCTGTTTCTGAAGATGCTTGTTACAAGGATGTCCGTGACATAGTTTTCCTGTCTATCCAGAATGGACAGACTTGTTTTTTTAAAAAAGCACTTGTATGCTGCTTGAAAAACATAATCTGTTGTACCCTCCATAGGAAAGTTTACTACCTAGGTTTCAAACTACGGTTCAGGCGGATGGTTTTGTTAGTGCAGGGCTGAACAGGGATTCATATGATCATTTGGGTTTACTCCCTGGCACTGCCACAGGTTCCCTGGGAGATAGTGAGTTTGTGGACCTTTCTGAGCCGCGACCCCCGTCTGTAAAATGGGTTCATAATCCACCTTTGTCAATTAGCGCGTTCTGATTGCAATCTCTCTGGGGCTGGAGCTGTGTCATGCGTTGCCTATACAGCACCTAAAACAAATGGAGCCCTGCTGTCAGTCAAATCCTCTGGCGTGGATGCAATACAAACAGTAGCAAGAGGCTGCCATTGCTTTAGGTGCGGTGTGTTGTGCTCCATGAGTGCCATTACAAGTGAGACCAGTTTGTGCCAAGTGCCGTGCTATCGTGACACACGGGACATAAGGCCGCATGCTCCCTGGATGCCGCTTTTACAAAAGCAAACCCTCTCCGCAGTTAGCAGAAGCATATTGCAGGGACTGAAATACCTGTAGGGTGCCCTCTTGTTTGCTGACTGCTTGACTGATACAGTATCTGTTGGCAGCATGCATATCAATTACTTTACAAGTCTGACAGGACAGCAGGGGCCCTTTTTGAAATGCGTCGTCTGTATGTACAGCGAGTAGATCCTCTAACAGGCTTCTCCAAGCCTGTCTGAGGGATTCCCTCCACCCAGTGAGCTGTAAGCTGGCGGGAAGCAGATGTGCCATCATTAACAGGTCTGATATTCAGTAAAGGGCCCAGGGGGATGCTTTCAATGCATTGCACACTGGGGATGGCTTGGGAAATGAGGCTCATGTGGTGCACGTGTGCAATGCTGGTGTGTGTGTGTGTGTGTGTGTGTGTGTGTGTGTGTGTGTGTGAGAGTGAGATTCAGTTAACCCCTTATGCACTGGAATATATCATGAACTGTCAGCAGTTGATCCCACCTGGAGAGAAATCTTTGGAAAGCATTAAAGCCAGGCCTCGTTCTGGTCATCACAAGTAATCCATGAAAGGCAACCAAGTTGAGCATCAGCCTTCAGGGTGGGAGTCTACAATGTTCTGGGTGCTGGCATTTTTGATCTAATGAAAGATATCGGAGAACCTTGTCTGCGGTGTCCTTAAACTAACACGGCCACAACCAACACCCCTGACATGTTTTAGGCACTCGGATCCCACAACAGAACTTAAAATCATTAGTACCTGGCCAGCCGGTCATCAGGCTTGGGGTCAGGAAGCAACTTGCCTCCTGGTCGGACTGGCAGAGACTGCGTCAGGTTTTCATCTTCCTCTTGCAGCACAGAGCATGACTCACTTGGTAGGGACATCTGAGAATAACCACTAAATCAATTCTCTGCCACTGCAGCAGCTTGGGGAACTGCTTGGCTTCTCCTTTTTTCTGCTCACAACATATCATAGTCTATTCTCCTGAGGACTGAAATGCTTTAATCTAACTCAGGCTGTTGGTCTCAATGCAGGGGCAAGCTGGGCAAAATTTAATGACCTGTGTTATATAGTAGGCTAGACTACGCGATCTCGTGGTCCCTTTTGGCCTTTCAGCTCTATGAAACCTTGATTCCCTTCTCCGAGGCGACTGCCAGGCAAACTGCCTTGGGGCTACATATTCCTGCCAATGTGCCAGAGAGCAGAAGACCTAGCTGGATACTGCCTGCATATAAGAAGGCTCCTGCTACGGCAAAAGGATTCCCACCAGAATGGAAAATTTGCAAAATTGCTTCCCAAAATGACCAGCTACTACTTCAGTCTTTCTGCTATAGAAGCACAAAAATGAACTAAGTGTAGTTAATGAAAAGTTAATAAAGTTAACTGAATAGCTGGGAGACACATTTCTCACCTAGAAAAGAAGCTGTGGGGGGGAAACAAACCTAAGTAACAGACTAGTCATGCTGAACTTTTCTTTTTCAGGATGGGGAAGGGAGAGTCCCAACAGGTGACACAGGGCATTGGATTATCAACTGTACTATGTGCTTGGTTGCTCATCAGCCTTTTATGTGTTGCAGAGTTTTAATTAACAGACTGAATTGGGTTTTTCACTGTAGTCACTTACTCTCTACTGTGTCAAAATGGTCCTTTTGGATTTCAGGGTCTTTTTTTGCATTCAAGAGCCCTTCAATTCAGGAGTCATTCAAAGCCATGACCTCAACCTGCCACATTAAAGGCTCCGAGTCCAGTATTCTTGACCTGGCCAAATGGAGCCTTCCAAGAGCTGCAGCCCTCCAGAAACCCCCATTGGCTTGGTACTACTGCCGAGTAATTTGCTAGTGTATTCAGCCCCTTAGTTTGGAGGGGAATTAAATCAATGTTCCAAGAACCTATTTGAAAGCCAAATAGCAGCCAAATGGCAATTGGGAGGGAGAGGAGCAAGCCTGCTTTGTTATTCTGGTACTGCTGGTCTATCTTGTCCGTGCCTTCTTCTACGTGACTCAAATAATGAGGGGTAAGTGTGGAACAGCAGGAAGAAACCCTTTACCTTACCCTAGTGCTGCATTGCGGTTATAATGCTCCCCTCCAGAAAAGCGTTAATGGGTGGGCAGGGGATTTTCCCTCTCCAGCCTTCTCTAAATATTTCAATTAGACTCTGTTCCATTTCTTGGCTGGGCCCTTCCATAAATAAGCTATTTTGCAACGGGTTCGTTTTTATTTCTGTTAACTTTTATCATCGAATAGCAGTCATCAAATCGACACCTCCATTCCCTGGAGCATATTCCCTCTGGTGTCATTTTTGATAAATGCCAAGAACATTGTAACAGCAAGAGACCATTATCCTGTGACATGCTCCGCTCTGCTCACGTTATCTCTGAAATAACACGGACGCTTGCTCAAATCCGCGCAGCCGTCACAACAGGGACCAGAAACAGATCCAGCCTGGCTGAACCCAGGCTGCAGCTCTGGGTGCGAAGAGAAGGGCAGAGGAGCTCAACAGACCAGCACTTGGGTTCCTTCATTCATCCTTGGCTTTGCTTCGACACGAACCTACTTGAAGAGTCTTTGTCACTAATGGACACAGCTGGAAGCCAAATGGCACCTATGTTATATGGGAAAAGAAGCCTGAACTTTGGGGTGGAGGCGCTACCAAGGAAGCAGCCTGAATGCAGCGTCCCTATGATCCTGCACGAGGTGTTGGAAAGGGTCCAAGGAGACACGGCTGGGAGGGCCGTCGCGACTTTGTGGTGGATAAAGGTGCAGTCCCTTTTAGCCATTCATATAGGACTCCCCCTGGGTGATCTTTGCCGTGATACTGGGGTTAATAAATCTGTGCGCTAGAATGGCCCAGCACCAGGATCTTGATTTTCCTCTGGTTTTGGTGGTTTAGCCTCACTGCCCCCTTGCTGCACTTCTTCAGTGACAAAATAGAAAACTAAGGCGGAGGCATTACGGAGACAAAAGTTAGGCAGGGGAAGGCAAACTGATTTCTGATATATGCTGCTTCAAAAATATTGTTTTAAAAAGTTGGATTTTCATTTGATTCTTTGACCAAGTTTGAAAAATGTTAAGTTTAGATGGCCAGGGACTTTTTGAAGTGGAAAGTTTTCAAAGAAAATATCTCATTCAAAGTCTCAGCAGATCCGTCTCCAGAGCTCTCTGTAGGTAGACTCTCCTTTTATTCTCCAAGTGACTCCCTCCACATCTGGGCTGAGTGTGGGGAAGGGGTGCAGCTGGCAGTCTGTTGGGGAAGGTCTACGTAGAGGTCTAGTCTCCATTTGGCTTACGCACTTCTGGAGAAGCACAGAAGCCTCCTCTCTCATTTGAGGGTCGAGTGCCCGCTCCTTGGCTTCCTAGCACATGAGCAATTTGCCATCAGGCTGCATTAGCTTCACCCTTTCCGTATTTATTTTGGCTAATATGACACAATTAACGTATAATCATATCTGTACCTTTCGTATCACATTAGGCAAAATGAATGCCATTAAAAGATGATACTAACGTGACATGATGGGAAATACTTAATGTGAAAAAATCCTTCAGATCATATTAACAAAATTAAAACGGGGGAATGGCTCTGGATGGGTCTTGTCTCTTCTGGGTCATTTGCTGCTGCACCCAGGAGCCTGGGGCAATCCTGTCCTCCTCTGCACTCGTGTGGTCCACGTCTCTCTGCACACGGGGAGCCAGCTCTCGTATGGATGGTGACATTTTAAGAATGAGAACAGCGGGGATACCTTTGTAGATTCCCAAGTATCAATTTTCAGATTTCGGATCCCCAGACTCAAAGAAAGTAACTGAGCCATCAGCTTCCAAGCGCCAGAATCGCTTTTGAAACTGCAACTTAGTCTCCTAAGGCACGTAGGCTGTTTGAAACGTTACCCATAGGAGTTGGGTTCTGCATCAGCAACAGTGATTATACTTGGCTATGTATAGTGAGTGTCCCCAGTAGATCTCAGTGGGCTTTAAAAAGGATGCCAGTGTCCCATTATACAGCTGTGGAAACTGAGGCACAGAAAGGTGCAGAGGCTTGCCAAAGGTGACCCAGCAGGTCAATGGCTGAGCCTCCAAGGGACTACCCTGTAGACCAGATTGATGCCAATGTCTGGGATTTGGATCCACAACCGAAGTCAGAGGTAGGATTCAGGCACAAGTTCACTGATGCTGAAAACACACAATCTGTTCTCATGGACGTTATGCCCCAGCAACCAAGGTCTTGAGAGCTGAGATATTCTCATGAGATGCCCACCTTTCGCAGTTCTCCTCTCTGTGATTTTTAACCACCACCAAACTAGGAACTAGGCCCTGTCAGGGTTTGAAGACAACTATAACTATGATAGATGCAGCTTTATTTCCACAGATTCAAATAGACTTCTTCAAGTTTTCAGGAGGCTTGATACCAAAACCATAACACAGTTTTGAGTTTGCCTCTTCCCCGTGGGACTTTTAGAGGATTGCATGCGAAGTTTGGGATTTGTTCGCTCCTCAGACACGTCACGTTACCAGTGTTTGCAGAATCACCGAAACCAGAATTGTAGGGGCCGCAGAAGTTGGGCTGCCTGTGCTCCATGCCCCCCGCTTAGGACCCATGTGATTTCTACCGTCTGCTTCCTTGTGCTTGATCTAATCTTAACATACGGTTTCTCAGCTACTTTTTCTGCTAGGCAACCTTTTGGATCTGAAACTTTAAGACATGGTGGCAAAACTTGAAAGGAATAATTAACAATTATTTCACAGGAGAAGGTTCCAGCTGGAGCGGTATCTGGTGGTTGAGCATATATCTAACAAAGGATTGTTATTTAAGCAATAACCCTTGAGAAATTGGTCGTTACCAGCATTAAACGACTCAGCCCATTGCCAAGGATGGTTAACGCTCTAATAAACTGGTCATTAACTGCAGTAACAATGAATTTCGAGGGGATTATTGCTATTATAAACCTTAATCAATGGTTTATAACAGCAATAATGTGGTCCTTTCCTTTAGTGGTAAGTAGGGCGGCATGAGCAGTCTGCCTGGAAATGTTTTTGCTCTGGCTGATAAGACGGAAAGCAGGCATTAAAATCCCATCCAACTCAAAACACCTTGGGAAAATAGCAACCCAAGACCTTCACTGTGAGGGGTGATGTGCTGGCCACAACATTTGCAAGTTGTACTTATGGAGTCAATGACTTGACAGCCAAGACTAACTCCATATGATCCCTCCCCTCTTGAACCAATGAAAGGGAAGCTTCAGGTTCAAGAGATGGAGCTGCTGTCAAGAAACTGCAGGGTTTCTAACTCATAGGCAGAGTGTCCAGTTTCCCAACGGCTCTGAAAGTAGATTAGGTAGCGGGGAAGTGGGGGGAAGGAAGCTCATTTTGTCTGGATTCAGAATCCAGTGAAACACCGCAGATGTGAAGTTTGGCTGAAGTCTGGAAGTTGTTGGGCTTGTGCTCTGCTAAGGAGAGACCGTGGATAAAAATACAGGGAGAGAAAGCTCGGGAACTGAATAGAGAAAGCAGCAAACACTCAGCCCTTGGATACTGTGCGGGTATCAAAGTCACTGCCAGTCACTCGAACAGGGCCAGGATACTACAAGCTGGTGTTTCAGAGGTCAGCTGTGCCCTATTGAATTGGCAAACTGTGGATCCAGAACAAGGACTGGGGAGATACCTTCCTGACCGCAGCACACAGCAGCTGCTGCCTTGAAACATGACATTTGCCTCTACCCCAGATCAAAGAAAAGCAAATGTTGTTTCTGGTCATAAATGATCTAGTCTCTGTTTAAGCCCACCCACTCTACAGTACTTGACTCTCTGACCTCCTTCTTCAGTCAGTCTTGCAGGGTAGCCCAGGGGTGGGCAAAATGAGGCCCGGGGGGCCGAATGCGGCCCGCCAAGCCATTCTATCCGGCCTGCGGGCCCCTAAAACATTTAGAAAATTAATATTTATCTGCCCTGGGCTGCCTGCCATACGGCCCTTGATGGCTTTTTAAAACTCAGTAAGCGGCCCTCCGCCCAAAATAATTGCCCGCCCCTGAGCTAGCCACATTGCTTTGGCAGGCTGGAAGGGGAAACCTGAAATGGTGTGGAGTTTAATGGAAGCGAGGCCTGCTCCATTGCTTGTTGTCCAGCTGGTTTTGTCTTAAAATCTGAGAAGCTTTCCCACTCTCGGAAAAAAGAGGGTTGGGCTTGCAACTGAGCAGTATGGAAATAAAAGGGTTGGGCCAGATCTCAGTCTTGGGGTAAGTCTGCCACTTACCCCTTCAGGCAAGGAAACTATTCCAGTTTCCAGAAGTAGTGGATCAATACTGGTATTTTATCAGGGGAGGCTGAACAGGGTGGGATTTTTGTTTGCAGAACTATGCAAAATACAATCGTTCAAAACAATGTCAGCATTTAGAATAAATTGTTGCTGAGATTTTGGAAGCTGGATCCGATCCATGACTCTCTAAGTTGGTTGAAAAAGCAGTAAAAAAAAAGGAGAACTCTGAAAAAGTTCGGTAAAGTCCAGGAAAGCCGTTAGCTAGCTCTGTACTTCAGTCTGGGCCTTCGCTTTGAAGAGTCCCAGGGCCTTAGCCAGTTTGAGACTCAGCATTGAAGTGTGACCACCTCCAAAGACGGCAAAGTGCAGGCACCGAACACTACACTGCAGGTCACGTTCACATCTCCAAAGCAGAAAATAGGCTGAGGGGCAAAGCGAGCACATCATTTAAGTAATCACTTCTGTGAAGTTTTCCTTCCCTGCATTTTGCGATAATAAATTCCTACCTGGACCTGGCATTTACTTAGGTTGCAAGGCATTACGACGGTCTTTTTTTCTGTTGCGCATAGCACATGCAATGGTGCGGCCCTGATCTAGGGCTAAGGCTACTAGGCGCCTCAGTAGCACAAATAAGCTAGTCAATAGCGGCTTTGCAGCCCGGTGATGCCACTGAGCCACCTCCTACATGGGCTACTTCTTGAACTGATGCCCTCTACCAGGCTGGAGGGTATGGTCCTTCACCTAGCAGATGACCAGGCGACGCCACAGGTTCATTAGAGCTGACTTCATGGTCTCTTCTGATTAATCTGGTTCACTCTTCTAAGGAATGAGTTAGAGCACAAGACGCTTGTCTGACACTGGCCTGGGGTACATACCTCACCTAGGGAAGCTCCCCGGAAATCCTTTGCCCGGCCCACACAGCAGCTCTCGACTCCTTCACCTTTGGTAGTCACATCCAGAAGAATTACCCAGGTCTCTTCTTGAAAGATTTGCCACGAGGCACCTCGGCTCCTGCTTCAAAAGACCCAAGGGGAGCCCCGCAGGCAGCCTTTAATGATTTGGATTTCAAAACTGATGACAAAGGCTGAGCTATAATTACATCCCAACTTTAATACAGATTTTCTTCCCTTCTGTATCTAGGAGGAGGGGGAGGGGAGATTTTATTCTCAATCCCTAGCACTCCCCCCTGCTAATCCAGATGTATTTGGAGGAGGAACTCCTCATTTGACAATAAGAAGAGAGACCCTGCTAGTACTTCTGGTGCTTTGGCTGTTCTCCCTCCTGGCCATTGCAACATACTCCAGTCCAGCTCTGTCCCAGTCTGGGTGCCAGTGTGTCCCTTCCAGTGAAGGAGGTGGCTGGTAACATTTCTTTTTTTTTTTTTTTTTAGAAGGCTATAGTGGAATAAATTGGAAAGTTTACTTCATGTAGCATGGAAATAAAAAAGCTCATTCAGAAAGTTAATGATTTATTTTATAGTTTCATTATCAGGGTCACATTACTCAATAGCATTTCAAACATGTCATTTGTACAAACTATGGTAATTAAAATTTATAACGTACTTCATCAGCGGCATATGAATCTTTTAGCCGGCACTCTGCTGTCATATAAACAGTGTAATTTCAGCTGCAATTCACCCTTTATTGGCTCTCATTTGTGATTTAACAGCCATCAATGACTGTGCTATAAAGAATAAATTAACCATCCGTAAACCTTATGATGACAGGGACAGTCAAACAGACTTAAACTGCTTCTACCAGACTCTGGTTAGCAAGCAGAGATCAAATCCGGGAGGTGCCCATGTGAAAGTGCAAGCGCTCCTTGGTGGGAGGGTGCCGCGCACAAGGAGCATCCGTCCATTTCTGAGAGAGAGTTTTATCAAAACCTCGGGATGGCGAATGCCTCCTCTCCTGCAAGCCGTTTCCTGTCCTGCAGGGGGAGTGCCAATAAATAATACTGAGTTTCTGTTTAAGAAAAAAAAAAATCCCAATTCTCCTTTCTGCAGTACAACTGGGCTGATAAGGCTCCTTGATATTGCCCTGCATTCAGGGCTGGTCCAAGGGTAAGTGGCGCCCTAGGCGAACTGTGTCCCTCGGGGCCACCACCACTTCCAGTATAGAGGAAAATAAGCCTCGAATGAACTTTTACATGT